CAGTCCCGTTCTACAACAGTGGCACCATGCAATATTTGTCCTTTTGTGACTGGAATATTTCATGCAGCATGATGTTCTTAAGAGCCACCCATTTTAAGTAATAGTGAATGAGTTCCTTGTTTTTCAATGCAGCATAGTATTCCATTGTGTGAATATACTACAGTTTCTCTATCCATTCGTTCATTGATGAGCACTTAGGTTGTTTCCAGCTCCTTCCTATTGTGAACAAAGCTGCAATAAACATGGGTGTGCATCTGTGTTGGGTTTTTGTTGTGGTCCCCCCATTACAGCCTTAAAACATCTCCATTGATTTATACTTCTCTTTCCCTTTAAGTTTTCTCAAATAGGAGCTCCAGCCTACAGTTACATATCTTTCTAGGAAGTAGGATTTATTTCCTTTCTAGAAAGTAGTTTTTTTTCTGGTTCAATTTAAAGCTTTAATCTTAAAATTTTGTAACCAATAATCATGGAGTGTCTCATCTGCTCCTTATCTGGAATCTGTATTTGAGAGGAGGGGTTGTCTGTTCCTCCTCCTGCCTTTCTTACTCTGCTACTTCGGTGCCACACTTCCTTCTCTATGGTGTTATAGTAGAGGAAAGAGATGAGAGTAGAGGTAAGGAAAGACTAAAGGCTTCATGTATTTTTATGACTGATCTCTCACCACTGCTAACTGAAAAAAAAAAGTTAGAGAGTCAACTTTATCTGGTGGTGCCTTGATAAAAAGATCTGGAAATCTGTTTGTGATAAACCAGCCATTGAAAACCTCAAGAAGTCCAGTGTTAACGCTGGCTGACACACATGACATCTCCATAGGTTAGAATTGACTAGATGGCAAACCACGAGGCCTAAAGAGCCCAGCTACGCATGCAAGCACATTTAACAGCTGTTTTCTTGAACGGCTTCCTGTGGGGCTTTTTCTTAATAAATTTCCAGGAGAAAAAAAAAGAAGTTTTAACTTCCCTTTTTCACACAGTAGCTGGATTCCTGAAGAGTCAGAATATGTGAAAACTGTGCTAAAAATATTTGGGGTTTATATATGCAATGGAGTTAAGTCTTAGGTTCAGATAATTAAAGAGAGGGTTTTCACCAGTGAGGCATTTGAAAATTGTTGGGGAAGTGGGACAAGTTTTAGTTCTGTGGGACTGTCTTAGACATTGCAGGATGTCAAGCATCCCCACCTCCTCCCACTGTATGTCCTCTCTCTCATTTGTGACAACCACAATTACCCTCCCAAATTTCCAGAAACAACCCACTGGGGGTGGTTCTGCCCCACTGAGGCCACTGTTCCAGAAGCTGCATTTTGAACATGTTGACATTTGTTGCCTCCTGTCTTCACACTTTAGCCTATAGCTAAATCTGAAGGACAACAGTCTTGACTCAAAAAATCAACAATATAAGTTTCAGAATAGATTCCGTGTACTGTGTGCAATGCACGAAGAGTGTTCATTCTCATAAATGTGTATTAGGTTAAGATTTTGCACCTAAGGACTCACAGTTACTTGGCAAAGACAAACTGCTTATTTGACGTTATTTAGCTAATAATTTCTGGCAGCATCAGAATTTAAATCATGGTTTTCTGGCTACAATACACTAAAATAATGAAACTAAGGTGAGAAAGATAGAAATGGAAAACAGATCAGATTATGAAGGGAAGCCAAGTTTGTATTCATAAAATGCCTGTCATGAAGTTCAATATACTACGCAAAAGTAGGCTAATTTTACTCTCATTTAACAAGAAGAGAGAAATATTTTCATCCACATGACTCACTAAATCTAAAAGATAGACCAACAAGGATTGTTATCCCACATTTTCACAATATCTTTCATTCTATATGCCTGTGGTCAACTTATGACAGGCAAGGTTCAACAAGCTGCATCACTCATTTACCCTTTTGCTTTTGGTGTATCTTGTAATTACTAATATGTCCTACATACAACATTGCAATACTTGCTGATTTCATCATTTCTATAAATGTACATACTATGCTTCAAACCATGAAAGAAAAATAAAGGTCAGGGCTATAAAGATACTGAAATTAAAGGCAGTAGTAATAAAAACTTTAAAAAGTGAAGTAGCCTACCGAAATCAGAATTTAATGACAACAGAACTATTAGAATGGAGCCTTGTTGTAAATATATATAGAACTACCTGTTTATTTCCGTATGTTGTTATTTGTGTTTTTATGAATGTTTTTATCCCTACTTGTTTACAGGTTTCTGAGAACAGAGATCACATTATTGCTTTAGGGTTTTTGTTGGTTGCTTTTCAGCAGTGGTGGCTACTAGGTCTTTTCTTCTGTCTATCATAGGCTGGAAGTTCCTCTGAAACCTGTTCTTCATAGTGGCATTCAAGCTTCCAATGAAAAATGGGTAAAATCTGTTCTTGAGGACTGTTGGCTGGGACTTCAATCCCATTTTGTGCATGTTATTGTTGTTAGGTGCCAACGAGTCTATAATAACTCATAAACACCCTGTGAACAACAAATATGAACCTTTTCCTATCTTGTGCCATCCTCACCATTTCATTCTTGCTCAAATCCATTGTTATAATGACTGTGTCAACCCATCTCATTGGGGGTCTTCCTCTCTTTTGCTACCTCTCTAACTTTCCCAGCATGCCATCTTTTTCTCAGGAGTGGCCCCTCCTGGGACCATACTCAAAGAATGGTGAGATTAAATTTTATCAACCTTGACTTCAAAAAGCCGTCTGGTTGCACTTCTTCCAAGATAAATTTGTTTGTTCTTTCAGCAGTCCATGATTTCCTTAATGGACTTCTCCAAAACTACAGTTCAAAGTTATTGATTTTTTTCCTTAGTCTTCATGGACTGCGAAAAGAACAAACAGATACGTCTTAGAGAAGTGTAAACCAGAGTGCTCCAAAGTTTCATTTCACATACTTTAGGCATGTTTCTAGGAAACATTATTTCTAGAAGAGAGATACTATGCTTGAAAGGTGGAAAGTTGGTGAAAGGGAGAAAGACCTTCAACAAGATGGATTAACATAGTGACTGAAGTAATGATCTCAAGTGTATCAGAGATGATGAAGGTGGACCAGGATAGGACAGGATTTGGATCTATCATTCACAGTGTTGCTATGAGTTGTACTCAACTTAATGACACCTAACAACAATAGTTATTTACAGATGGGAAGCAATTGAAAAGATCATGGCTTGGATGAGGAACCCCTTAGTCTTTAAACTAACATGCTTGCTTTTTTAAAAAAAGAGGTCTGTGAGGGCAGATTTCTTCAATGCAACATATCTTTTGATTTTTTGACTGCTACTACCATGGATGTCAATTATGAATCTAAGAAAAATAGAATATTAGACAACTTCAGAAAAGATGGAAATTGTCTCTTGCTTGGAAAGTATCACTGAACTATCACTGCCCTCTTAATTTTTCTACTGCTTCTATAATAAGCTTGTAATTCAGTGAGCCTTTTAAAAAATGATATTGTTGTATTCATGAATAGCACAATAAATTAACATAATATGTAATATACATAAATGATGGAGCCATTATAATTGAAGTTGAGGCAAATGAGAAGTCCATAACTGTCATTTCCACAACTTTCCACAACACACACATGTACATACACCAGCCCTACTCTAAGCATTTCACTCCAGAGGTGTGTCCCAGGCACTAGCAATTCTTGCAAGATCATCAGTAGCAGGGTATTCATTCCTGTCAGCCTCTTCCAAAATAAGCAAAAAAACAAAATAAATGTAAATTCCTCCTCTTTTCTCTCCAGACTTAAGAAAGAATTTTCACAATTGCCTGTGCTTTCGTGCTTTATCAGAACTTTTTGGTTTTGATTCTGCCTACACATTCTAAATTGTCCCTTCATCAAATTCTTTTTGGTTATAAGTCATGCACTTGCTTCCTGAGGGACTCCAGTTGATAAACAGAGCAATTCACAAAAATCAATTTCATGACTAGCTAGTCTGCCAAAAGTTAATTTGCTGAGTTAGAGATGTTGTTTTCCACAAGTTTGTCTCCTTGAGGTGACTTTCTCCACTTCCTCTGCCTCTGATCTTCCCTCTTCTGCTGCATTTTTACACTGTCCTACCCTCACATTCAATTTCAATATGATGATTTTTGGGGAAGTAATCAATCATTCAGTCGATTGATTTTAAATGACTTTGCTTTTGGCTAATTGATTTTCAGTGAACTGTTAATCCAAAACATTTTTCTGAAAACTGGTTGTCAGCAAATTTGACTTTTTGACAGTTTCTTCTGAGCTCATTTTGAGAAGCACTGGAAGGGGCAGAAGCTAAGAGCAGGGAGGAGAGAAATCACTTGGCCACAGAGTTTAATGGGTGGAGGAAAGGGGTAAATCCAGCCTGGGCCTGAAAAGACAGGGTGATGATGAGCATATATCAGCAGTGATTGGTTTTATAAAATGCAATGTATGGCTTTTCTTGTGAGCCACCTCAGGTGATCTCCCAGAAGGGTTCGCTGCTCACTTGACCCTGAAAATCTCACAAAATCAAGTAAATCAAGAGGCTCAAATCTCCAGGTCCTTTTTAAGAATACCCAGGAAACTACCCAGGCCTTCAAGGGTATGCATATCTGGAAAGCCACCAAGTATCTGAAAGATGTCACTTTGCAAAAGCAGTGTGTGCCATTCCAATGTTACAATGGTGGAGTTGGTAGGTGTGCCCAGGCCAAACAGTGGGGTTGGACACAGGGTGGGTGGCCCAAAAAAAAGAGTGCTGAGGTTTTGCTGCATATGTTTAAAAACTCCGAAAGTAATGCTGAACTTAAGGGTTTAGATGTTGATTCTCTGGTCGTTGAGCATATCCAGGTGAAAAAAGCTCCCAGGATGCACCATCGCATGTACAGAGCTCATAGTCGGATTAACCCTTACATGAGCTCCCCCTGCCATATTGAGATGATCCTTACTGAAAGGAAACAGATTTTTCCTAAACCAGAAGAGAAGGTTTCCCAGAAGAAAGAGATGTCCCAGAAGAAACTGAAGAAACAAAAACTTAAATCTCAAGAATAAATACGTCATCAAGTAAAATGGAAGCAACTTAAAAAAAATGCAATGTATAGGCATGATTGTATGATACACAATGTGAATGAAGAAATGTGTAAAACAGTGTATATGAATGAAACACAATGCATATGGCTTTTTAATGTAAATCAATGTAAAGTATATTAAAAATTAAAGTGATGATGCTGTTGATGATGCTATTTATTAACTTTTTTAAAACCCTCTAGAGTCTGTACTTCTCTCCATTTTTTGCATCTTTACACAGGTATGATACCCTAACTGCTCTCTTTTACTCTTGTCCTGCTCCAAACTGTCCCCCACATTTCTCTGAAATTAGTCTTTCTGGAATGAAGATCCGATTATATTTATCTTTGTAAAATTCTCTAGCTGCCCTTTGAAGTCATCTGTTCAGCTCTTTTATTTCAATATCTAGTTCCTTTGTTTTGGTTTCTTGAGACTGTAACACAAATATTTAAGGGCTTTTCTGACATCCATTTTCATTTTTACTTTCTCATTTGTCTTTGTTTGCTTTCTTTATGGAGAATTCATATCCTTGGTGTTATCCCACAACTCATCTGATCTTTGATCTTTGGTGTTTAATACTCCAAACCTGTTCTTACGACGATTTTTAAATTTAGATGGAATAGACTCAAGATCATATTTTCATTCTCAATGGCTTATTTCATTATCTTCAGCCTCAATTTGAACTTGCACTTGAGTAACTGATGATCTGATCTACAGTTGGCACCTGGCCTGGTTTTGACTGCTAATATTAAGCAACTCCAGTGATTCCTTCCACACATAGTCAATCTGATCCCTATACTGTCCATCTAGAGAGAGTCATGTGTAAAGTCACCATTTGTGTTTGTTATGAGAAGTATTCATGAATACTAATAAATCATTGAACCACAAAATATGGTAATCCTATTTCTGACCTCAATAATTATAGTATTACAGGATAACATTTGACCTTCATACTGTGGCAATACACAATTCCATTATATTTTCTTCTCCGGCTTTTCAAGACTTATCTTTTTTTCCCCCAAGCTTTATCTTACAGCTGTTCAAAACTCCCTAATTACCATCCCATTGAATGATTTTTACCTTTTAGAACAGAAAGCCATTTTGATCCTGGATTAATTTACTCATGCTGCTGCTCCTATTAGAATACCCTTCAAACTCAATCAAGGATATGGATATTAGTCAAATTTCTTTGGTGATGATGGATAATAAGCAATTACAATATTTCATTGAATTTTATCAATCATAATTTCTTTCATGCTTACACATTTGCACGTAAGCTAGATCAGATCTGTTTCAAAAGGGGGATCAGTCCCACATGTGTTACACTAGTAACTCTAGTGGCTTATTTTTCTCATGGTGGACGGTGGAAGTCAAGAGAGCCAATCATTCCATTTAAAGCAAGCATATTTAAACTTAAATTAAAATATAAATTTAAAATGAAAATTTCAGCATCTTTGCTGTCTTTATAACACTAAGTATATTTATTTTTCTTTTGGAATATTATATAAATTTGATTTACTCATCTTTTCCTTTTTAAGAATTCCTGTGGACCCTAATACGTGATTTAGAATACATTCAAAGACAATGGATTTTGTTGGGTTTTTCCTGACATGTACTAATAAATATTTATTGGTTAATCAATTATTTTGTCACTAAGTACATTGAAAAAAAGGATATAAATTAAAAGAAAACACCTCAATGTATCATTTTGAAATCTCCAAGTAGAAAACCTGTCACAGATCATTAATATCAGGTTCATAAAGAGAGAGGACTAATTTTTCACCCGTTAGAAAACATAAGTAAAGCTATTCAAAGCAATGCACTAGGTTTCTTGTGAATATGTGGGACAAATGCTCAAAACTGGGTTAATCTAGGCATGAATGGATTTACTGTGAAGGAAAATCCTTCCCCAGGAATATACAACTGAAGACTGTTAGAAGAAGGAACCTCTACAAAGCAGACAGTTCAAGATATTCTTTTGACAAAATTTTATGGCCTTTTAAATAAGGAAACAGATAACTTTTTTAAATAAAGATTATAAAAAAAACTCAAACCAACACAAACCAGAACCAAACCCCACCTCAAGCACAGTACTATTGGCATACAGCTAATCTTGCAATGGGTTTTCACAGGCTTGGAATCACATGGGAGGAGAGAGTGCATCTTTTCCCAAAGGAGGAGAAACTGGATAATGACAGCCTGCCCCTGGTTGACTATTATCCACTGGGCCACCACACTAATATTAACTATGTGTGTTTTATAGATGCTGCAACATAATTAAAATTTCTCTAAAAAAGGGATTGCTAAATTTCTACAAAGAGAGCTTTATTCTTGAGCTCACCATTAATTTCTCCACTTGCTCAATTTCTACCACGTTTAGTACACTAAAATTACTTTCTTTCTTAAGCCATATCTGTTTTCAGCACTTAAACGTTAACCTTAATCCTGGCTCTAAGTCTATTCTTATCTCACAACTTTCCAAAGCTTTAATTTCCATTCCTTTGTTGTTTTTATGTGCTGTTGAATTGAATAAGACTCATAGCAACTCTATGAATTACATATCTGAATCTTTACTATCCTGTGCCATCCTCACAATCTGATGATCTACTTGAGCCATTGCTGCAGTCACTGTGTCAATCCTTCTCATTGAGGGTCTTCCTTTCTTTCACTGATCCTTCTCCTTTCCAATCATGATGTCCCTTCCCAAGGAATAGCCTCTCTTAGCAACATGCTCAAAGTATGTGAGACAAAGCTTTGCCTTTCTTGCATTCAAGGAACGTTCTAGTTGCACTTTGTTCAAAAGTCCTGTTCTTTCGGAAGTCTATAGGATATTCAGTGATCTTCTCCAACATCACAACTCAAAGATATCAATTCTTCTGTCATCTTTATTCTTCGTCCAGCTCTCAGATGCATAGCAAATAATTGAAAAGACCATAATTTGAATCAGAGGCTCTTTTAATTTCCTGGCTGCTGGTGCCAAGAGTCTTGATTGTGGAGCCAAGCAGACTAAAGCTGTGATCAATCTCAATCTCTTCACCATCCATCCTGATGCTGCCAACTGGCGCAGTGGTGAGAATCTTTGTCTTCTTGACATTGAGCCTTAATCGATATTGTAGGCTACAGTTCTCGACCCTCTGCAGCAGGTGCTTCAGGTCCTCCTCAGTTTCAGCAAGCAGGGTTGTGTCATCTGCATATCGCAGATTGTTAATAGATCTTCCACCAATCTTGACCCCACATTTCTCCTCAAAGAGCCCAGCCTCCTGGATGATCTGTTCTGCATACAGGTTGAAAAGGTATGGAGATATTGGAATAATAGTGGTGTTTAAAGGTCTTCCTTGTATACATATGGATAGAGTCTTATCACTCACAACACTGTACTTCAGGATAGATCTTGAAATTATCATTTTAATTATGAATGCAACAGCATTCTCTTTCAGTTTTTCATTACCAGCATAGTAGATCATACGATTTTCTGATTCAAAGTGGCCTATGCCAGTCCATCTCAGTTCACTAATGCCTAGTACGTCAGCATGTCAATCTTCATGCATTCCATTTCATAGTTTTCATTTTCCAATTTTATTACAGCCTCCTAGAGCCTATAGGAAGGTTGGCTATGATTTGATTCTGCCTCAACTGCAGTGAGTTGTGTTTTATTTTACAATAACCTTAGCAAGATAGAACCAATTTGTCAAGAACATAGTCACTGAACCCAAACACTTGAACACAGAAGAAATTTCAGAAGTTTATTCTGCTGCTCTGTATCTTAATTATATAAGCTCCCAATATCTTCAAGGTAAAGAGATAGATTTGGGGAGCTCATATCCTCTGTTTTCTATATTGTTGTTTAGTGCCATTGAGCTGAGTAGGACTAATTGTGACCCAATGAACAACAGATCTGAAGCCTGTGCTCTCCTGTGCCTCCTTTATCATCTCTAACATACTTGATTCAGTTGCTTGCTGCAGCCTCTGTGCCAATCCATCTAATTGAGTCTTCCTCTCCTATGTTAACCCTCTACCTTTCTAAGCATGATGTTCTTTTCCAAGAAATCCAATAAATAGTCTCTGCTAACACCATGCCCACCCTTGCCTCTAAGGAGCACTCTGGTTGCACTTTCTCAAATACATATCAATTGTTCTTTGGTATGGGACATTCAGCACATTAGTTTCTAAGCTACTTTCTTTTTTTTCACTCCAAACCTGATCTCCAAGACTGCTTTTCCAGCTTCTGGTAGTAGAACTGAGTTTCATCCCACTGGGTGTTAGCAGAGGGGACTTACCAGATGAATTGGGAATCTCTGGCCCAGAGTCAGCCAACATCTGGGTGTGCCAGAATTTTAAAATACTGAAATGTTTGGCCACACCTCCAGGCTGAGGGGGCTAGTGTGTTGGGAATCTCACTTTGAGCTGGATTTTAGGACTGCCTCTCACTTCTTGAGGAGGGACACATGGAAAGTTTGGGGCTGTTATGGCTTTCTTTTTGTCACAAGTGTATGTCAGCAGAGGGGACTTGCCAGATGAATTGAGTCTCTGACCAGAGTCCACCAACATTTGGGCATGCTGGAATTTTAAAATACTGTAGGCCCTCAGGCCAAATGTTAATGGATTTTGGGTGAACACTCTTTCGAGTGGTAAGCAGAAGTCTGTCTATTTGCTCTACTGAAATGACATAGAGTTGCTGCGACGATGGACTACTGGGCCATAGGTATGTCAAATATCCCATCATGGGCAGTTTTTGTTGGAGCTCACAGATTGATTCAGGTTTGGAAGCAGAATTGGCATCCATTTCCTAAACTACATGCCTCTAGGAAGTCTAAAAACTTGGAGAAATGATGATAGTTATTTAAAGGCTTTAGGCTTTTGTTCATCTTCTGTTTACATATGTATCCTTCCTTCATATGTACTCAGTCTATATGGTGGACATATCATTAAAAAAGTTGGACTCTATGATGAAATATGTGGCATCAGAATGGGCAGCTATTGAAGAA